CCGGCACCTGGTCCGTGTCGCCTATATTTGCAAGTTTGATGTTCTGTGACTGGTTCAGGAGGTGCTGAGAGTTATAGACTCATACATCATGGGAACAGATGAACCTGATGATGGAGCGGCGCTCTGAAAGCTTGTGATCTCAAATTATCTTGTTGGACTATAGCCTGATGTCATGTGACTTCTGACTTTATTTCTCCACGTATGCTGCCAGACCTTCTGAGTTTCTCCAGCATTTTCTGTGTTTCTTTCAGATCTCCAGCATCTACAGTATTTTGCTTGTATTTGGCTATTCCAAGCAAACCTGCTATTTGAATATGTATTTGTGTCTCTGTGAATCACACTTTTCGACAATACAGTGTTGAAAGTGTTCATATGGCCAATCATGCCTGTGGGTAGAGTTAATTAGCCCCAATCCATTCCCTTTCCCCATTGTCCTATAAAATTGTCCCCATCAATACATATGTATTTTTTCTTTCTAATGTTACAGTTGAAACTACTGACATCACCCTTTTCTGTAGTATTTTCCAGATCTCAACAACATATTGTGTTAAAAAATGTTCCCTTGTTTTTGCTTCTGGTTTGTTTGTTTAATCACCTCAGTCCTCTGTTCTCTGAGGTCTTTCTGCCTCTCAACATAGTTTCTCCTTATTTTAGCTATCAAAATCATTCATGATTTTGTAAACCTCTATCAATTTTTTTTTTATCTCCTAAGGACCACTTCAGCTTTTCCGTGTAATTAAAGCCCCTCATCCTGGTGTTGTTCTAGTAAATTCCTTCAAAAGCTGTCCAAAGCTTTGACATCCTTCCTAAAGTGTGGTGCTTGGAATTTTTTTTATTCATGGAATACACATATGGAATGAAGACATCGCTGACTAGGCAAACATTTATTGCCCATCAATTATTAAGGGCACTTAAGAGCAAAACACCTTTCTGTGGGTTTCCCTGCTATAGAAAGTTAAAATTGAAAGAGTTCAGAAAATATCCAGATAATAACCCACCTTCCTGTTTTTGCTCTCAAAGTGGATAACCTCACAATTATCCACATTATACTGCATCTGCCATGCGTGTATCCACATACTCAGCTTGTCCAAATCATACTGAAGCTTCTCTGAATCTGTCTCTCAGCTCACCCTCCAAACTTATCGTTGTCTCATCTGCAGATTTGGGGATATTTAATTCCCTCATCTAAATCATTAGTAGATATTGCTAAGCTGGGGTTCTAGGACTGATCCCTGCAGTAACCCACTAGTTACTGCCTGTCATTTGGAAAAAGACCTGTTTATTCCTAATCTTTGGTCAGTAGCAGACAGGAAACAGTTTTCTGTATGTTATAATGCACTACCTCCTGTCAATGTGCTTTAATTTTACACACTCATCTCTTTGGTGGGACTTTGTTGAAAGCCTTCTTAAAGTACGAATTAACCATGTCCTCTAGTTTGCTCTCATTAAATCTATAAATTAGAGGTTTCTGTAAAGTATTTTTTCCACGTCTGACATCTGGCTGTCTGCTCTACAATTCCTGGGTTTTATTTTCCTGCTTCCCTTCTTCAATAGAAGGTGAAACAGTTATCCACCAATCCGTAGAAAGTTTGCAGAGACTGCAGAATTTTGGAAGATGACAACTAGCTCAACCAATACTTCTAGGTCTGCTTCCTTAAGTATTTTGGGCTGTAGACTTGTGCCAGCTTCCTGTTTTACTGACAGTAGGATTAAATCTAACCTTTGATAATGACTAGATAATCTTCTTTATGTTGATTGAGGGATACATATTGGCTAGATCACTCAGGAATGCTGTCCTATTCTTTAAAGTAGGTATTATTTCTGCCCATTTGAGAGAATAGTCTGGGCCTTGGTTTGAGGTTTGATTCAAAGATTGAAACTTTGATAGTGCATCCTTTCCTCTGGACTATTGCACTTCAGTGCTAGGGTAGATGCTTATGTTCAGACATCTTGTATGGGACTTGAACATAAAATATTCTGACCTAGAAGTGAGAATTCAACCAACTAAGTCACAGCTGAAGTAGAATTGAATTTGTTGTTCTTGGCTCAGTAAAGATCAGGGCTTGATTTTTGTCTCCAAATGGAGGAGGGATTTGGCTGACAAAATGCAGATGATTTTTCTTTCAGAGGCAAACCATTTTTTATGTACCTTCCCAACCATACATCATTTTTCTGTGACTTTTAGAAGCTTGGAGGGCCTGGAGTGCATTTGCGTTTCTAAGGCCCGTGTCCCTTTGTTTGTACCACTGGAAAATGCATTTCTTTCTGCACATTATTTTTATGTGCTGCTCTGGGCTTGGAATCTCAGAAGAAAGTGCCTCCTTCAAAAGTCTCTGACTGCTGCAGGAAGCCTACTGAGCAGTGGGAACATTCTGAGGCTAAGTCTAAACTGTCTTTACATCTTCCAGTGTCCCTATTAGATGGTGTTTAGTCACATAAATGTTTTAAATGTAGTGATTGATTGCAGGGCATTGTGCTGCAAAGGTAAGTTGACCCGTGTTGACAAGCCTGCCAGCAATTTTGACATACATCAGCATACATTTTATTTTGGAAAAGGTGCCACAATGCATTCAAAAAGGTAGAAAAATGAGTCGGTAAACCCTCCTGTCACGTGCAGTCCTGTGATTTCCATGTATAGGAGCTCTGACTTTGTAAAAGAAATCCTCTGCTATTTAACACGAAGAAAAATGAAGCACCTATTCCCACCTTTATTGATTGACAGGCAACCTGCTTTGAAATAGAGCTATAACAGCATCCGTTCTTTCAATCTCAGGATCATGTAGCTGTCATGGTTTAGTTTGACAGATGTAGCTATTATGAGTACATGTCTGAGTTCCAAAATCTCGTAATGGCTTGATCTCATCAGATGGGGGTGTTTTGATGCAATTGCTCAAGGGGTAGTCACTCAAGAGATTAAACCTTTCTTTCCTTTAGGGTTGCAGATTTTTATTTGCAGTGTGAATGGAGATTTCTGAGTGAGAAACTTATTTATTTGTCACTTAATTTTTTTACTCTGGCATTTAAAATATTTCCCACTGGTACTGCATGGCTCCTTAGGAATGTAGCTAGTGGATATTGGATAAGTAGCTAGGCAGTATACAATGAGAGGCATGGGTGGCAAAGAGTTATGAGGGTGAATGCAGGATCTGCTGAGATGGGCCTTCTAACCACCCTGCCTCTATATCCCACACTTCCCCTGCATTCCAGGATGGCTTATAAACTGCACTGTGAGCATAACCTTGCATAAAATCCTAAAGATCCAGGCACAGTCAGTCATGAGTCAGGTGTGGGTGTCAAATATTGGGAAAACACTGTTTTGCACACCTAACACAAACTCAGTCTGAAGTTTCAAATAAATGGAACCACTGAAGGACCGAAGCAAGTTTGACATGTAATGGGAAGTATTTTTGAGTATAGGAATAAAATCCTTTTAACCTTTTGTTGAAAATTAGTCTACAAAAATTGAGAACTTTGAAGTGGTACTCACCGAAGTGAATCAGGCCAGAGTAGAAGTTTTTCTCAAAACTCCTTATTTCTTGTCCATAGGGTGCACTGGAAGAACAGCAGCTTTTAAGAGGTGATGGCACGTACAATGCTCACTTTGGAGATAGCATTGGATCTCTGGGCGACATAGATGATGATGGGTTTCCAGGTCAGTATTTCCTTATACATTCCCTTCCAATTTTGTCAAATTGTTTTAATAGCTGTTTACCTGTTCCCACTATTTGCCATCTTTATCATCTTACAATGTGAAGAAGACATTAGATGTCTACGCACTAGTCATGGTGACTGACGTAAACAGCAAAGCTTACAATGATTTTGGTCAGTTTGTTTGAAGTGTGACTTTTACATTAATGTTCGACCATGTCAATCTTTAACACTCTGAATGAAATATAAAATGCTGGAAATAATTGTACAGCATCTGTAGAGAGAAAAATAGACTTTTCCTTATGTCAGAATTGTGCTCAATATTGCCAACATGCTCTGTTTTTATTTCATATTTTAAACATCTGTAGTATTCAAGTTTTGTTTTTATGTTTAATAACTAGCGATCTGATTTGCTAGAGAACTAGCCTTTTCGGACCTTGTGAGCCAATATAAATTGAATTATAAAAAGCCGCCCTCATTCCTGAAAAGGGGGACCAAACACCTAAGATCATGTAATCGTCCAACACAAGAGAAATATTTCTGTCCTATATTAAGATCAAATAGATTTCCTTGAGTAGAGAACTAGTCTCTCACCCTTTTCCCAATACATTCCTTTTCAAGTATATATCCAATTCATTAAGTTACTGTTGAGTGTGCTACCACCACCCTTCAGATAATACATTTCAAATCATAACCACTTAATGCTTAAATCAAAAACAGCCTCATCTCCCAGTAGGTTCTTGAACCAAATATGTTAAAATTCTTCCAGTCCTCCTAGCAAAGGGAACAATTTCTCTTTATTTTATGTCAGCCTGCTCTGAGATGTTATTACACACCGCTAGAGCAGGTGAGTCTTGAACCCAGGCCTCTGCAGATCAGAGGTAAGAACGCTACCACAAGGGACCTCCAGTTGCTCTATTTATTTACTGTCTCAAAACCCTTGATAACTTCTACTAAATTTTCCGTTAGCTCTCTCTTTTCTGAGAAGAACAATATTGGCTCCTCTTGTGTAGTTTTTCCAAGTTACAGTTAATTTTGTCTTCAGTTATAGTTTCCAGAAGTTTTCCCAACACACATCAAACTGAATGATCTAGTTACTGAATTTATTTATCCCTTTTTGGTTTTGAGCAATGGTGCAATGTTTGCAATCCTGCAATCCTCTGGCATCATTTTCATATCCAAGGAGGTTTGAAAGGTTGTGAACACAGCCTCTGATTTTTCTCCCTTCCTTCTCTGAAGAAGCAAGATCATGTCTGCACTGAATGACTTTTCCACTTTTGGGTTGTGCCGATGCACTAAGTGGCTATGTTTTACCTATTTTTATACAATGTGATTAACCTACCATTCATCTATGACTGATTTTTGGCAGCATCAACTTTAGTGAAGAAAGGCACTATGTTCTGATATAGTATCTGACTCATAACCGCTGCTCAACAAAATTTCCTCTTTGGACCTTAACCAGCCACATCCTTTATTTCACTGTTGTTTTTGGATTTGTTTGTATATAAAAGAATTTAGTCTTCCCTTTGGTTTATCCACTTATGTTTCTTCATAATTCTCTTTGTCCTTCATTTCTTTTCTCAGTTCTTTTCTTCTGTTTTTCAGTTTTCTATTTGATCCTGTACTGTTTTATGAACCTGCCATTTATCTTGACTATGCCTTTACTGTTTACTTCTAATGTCAGCAGACTAAAATAGTAACTATCTCATGGGGTTATACAAAAAGGCTACTTCCAAATTAGCATTCACTGTGAGAGCATACACTGTTGGGGTGAATCATGTGGGATGCAAATTTGCAAGGGTATGAATATGTGAACAATGAATGTTTGTCAGAAGTGTGCATTCCAGGTGTCACAGACCAGATCAGACACCCTCAATATATTTTAAGAAGGTTTAAAAGACCAAACTTTTTCTTATTTGAAGGTAGATGTGAAGTGTCATGCTCCGATGCAATGCAACTGGTCAAACTACTCGATGTTAAACAAAACACAATTTAATTAAACGCTATAGTTAAAATACAAATGGAAGAAAGAGGAGTTTAGAATAACTTAATTATTAGAAAATTTAATTGAGTAATAGTACCTATTACTAATTAACTGTTCCAATATAGTAACATCTCATAAACACATCCCTTGGCAAAAAGAAATCCCAAATTCAGACAGATTCTGTCATGCAGTTCTCCAATCCAGGAGGAAAAAACATCAAGAGAAAATTCAGAGTGAATAGCAGCCAGGAGACATTCACTGAAGCTTCTAACTTTTTTGAGACCCCAAAGGCTTCTGATCTAAACCTAAAAACTAAATAAAAAACTGGAAAGCTGGTCTGTGAGAGCAAGACTCCTAGGCGTCAGATATTGTTTATTTTCTTAGAGACTATTCTGCACCTCTGCCTTACAGCCTTTCTACAAAAAAAGCCGGAGAAAATAACCTCTTAAAGTGATAGCATCATCACACAGGCAAATCATAATGCCAGTGAGAATGCAATGCTTCTTCGGAATGCCTTTCAGAACTTGTTGCTCAAATGAATGTCCTCCCTTAACCTCATGTGGTTGAACATATACGCAACTACAAAAGAGGCTTCCCCCACCCTGGCACCATTGAAATGAATCCCCAATCACTCACAGATTTGTTGCTGTTTTCATTTTCCTAGCTATTACAATGATTCTAGCAGTGTTGAATCTTTCTATATTCATTTCAAGTTGTAAACGTCCACAGGGAGTGGTGTGACAGAAAACTTTACAAGGTGAGCAACTCTGGCTATTGGAGGGCTAGCTTCAAACATCAAACCATCCACGCATGGGTGGGAGCCATCTTGGCTAACTGGTTGGCAGGCATTAACTGAGTGGGAGGGGTGGAAGGATCACACTTGAGAGATTGCCTTTCACCTTTCACCTTTACCTTTTACTGAGCCACTGCCATTGCAATTGGGAACCGACAATCCTAGTGAGGTGTTGGAGGGCAAATTCCTAGGCAGCTGTGACACCTTTCAAACCTATTGCAAACTGTAAACCCCAGGCAGGTGCTGCACAAAAGCTGTGACAGCAGCCATTAGATGCTACGTTATGGCTGGCCCCCAGTGCTTGGCCATCACTTCCTCTTAAGGAAATTCTGAACAAACCATGTCAGTGCTGGACTCCACCATACCACACGAGATTTAACATGGTCTTCCTGATTCCATTGGGAATACCAATTAGCCTTCTTCTTTAGGCTCTTCTTTCAAATCCTTTCCCGAGCCTTTGGCAGCAAAACTGGTCAGCTGTGTTATCCTTACTCCTGACCTGGTTTTGGGCCAGTTGTGCTCAATGTGTCCTTATGTGTTGATCCATCTTCAGTGACATCCTCCAAGTGGTGGACCATGCGGCTATCAGTGCTCTTGGCTGTAAGTGTAAAATCAAGTGCCATCACCATTACCTTTGTGTTGGGATGCACTACTTGGATGTCTGAGAGGAGAAAGGCACAATATCAAGATTTGGGCAAGAAAGGAGAGGAAAAATGCAGCTTGTAAATCAGAAGAACTTGTGTATGAGGGCGAGGTGGGCTAGCAGGAGGAGGATTCGATATGAAGATACCATCATTGATTGTTTTGGCCTTGCCACTTAGTATAACTCCACTAAAGGAAATTCTGCACACTCCCTTTTTACGAAAAAATCCTGGCCAAGAGCCCCCACACATTGCCACAAGTTACTGGGATAATGTGCTGAGGGTCAAACCCCATGAATACCCGTGTCGTCACAAATGTGAACAATTGATGAAGTCACCAAATTACACCATTTTACCTGACTGTGTCTCATTCAAATTCAAAGAATATACACACCATCTGCAAAATAATTTTTAAATCAAACTGTTTTTAACCCATGTATAGTAGAAAGGGTAAGGTCCACAGTCCAATACAAAATAAAATTGGTCTCCACACTGAAACAAAAAGAGAATATTTTGAATATACTGGCACTGTCATTGGATAGAGAAACAGAGTTATTGTTTCAGGTCAACAACCTTCTCTGCCCCCTCACTGAAACCTGTCTGTCTATATCTGAACTATCATCTCCTTGCCCTGCAGTACTCATTTAACAATTTACTTGCTAATCTGTGTTTCTGGAACAGATTCCTCTGTGACTGACTGAAATTATCCCTCTTCCAGTTGAAGCTCATCATTTTAGATTGTTTATTCTCTCTTTCCATAACACTCCTATTGGGGTATACCTTAGTTTTTTCCATGCAACTAGGTCCAAAAAATGATGGAAGTTCTCATGTACACATCTCAAGAATTTATCCCGTTCTTATCCATGACACTGAAGACTGCTTCTAACATTATTCTGCTGCCTTTATATTTTCCTGAAATTTGCTTTGAGATCTGTCCAATCTTGCTATTATTTGGTTAACAGTAATAATACACTGATAGCCGCTTTTCCAGAAGTGTAACTATCATTCCTGCCTTTGAATCCTCATGCACATCAGCCCCTTCTGTGTCTGTTATCTGTTGAATAATATCCCACCATTCATTCCACTGTTTTCATCCCTTCACTTTCCCTCTGAAATACATTGTATCTAGGGATAGGTTTCCATTCCTGCCTTTGTTTGACCCAGTCCCTATTATTTCAGTACTATAATTTCACCAGAGGTTAGTTTCCATTTGCCTCAGGAGTTAAACCTTGTCCCCTTTCACAGCAGTCACTGCGCTGTGTTATGACATTTAAATGTCTTAGCACAGCCAGACACTTGGACACCTGCTGTGAAAGGGTAAGTGTGTAAGGCAAGTGTGGCTATTGGTTAGGGTGTTATCATGCAAGGTGGTTAGGGTGTGAGGGGTGCCTGATAGCTAGGTTGTCAGGCATGTAGGGTATCTGGTAAGTAGAGTACAATGTTGCCATGTGGATTGGGTGATAGGTAGGTAGGGTGCCAAGTAAGTGATGGGTGCTTAGGTTAGGTTCGCCAGGGTTTGGTTGGGATGGTGTAGATTTCGAGGGCAGCAATGGGAAGAAGTGTCAGGCCCTGGGTCTTCAGGCTGATGGTAGGGGAGCACTGTCAGGCTGTAGGAAACAGGGAGTCATGTTAGGCTGGGGTAGGCTGGTTGTGGGGAGTGATTATCAGGGGTCCCAGAGTGTAAGGGGTCTGGCAAGGGGGAGAGGTTATGTGATTTGTTGCAGGGTCAGCTTAACAGTTACTCAGAGTTAGAGTAGGTTTTTAATCTTCTAACTCTTCCATGCAAGTTATCGATGCAAGTAGAGCACTCCAAATTCTCCACCTTGAAGGGATTGTTTCAGAGTGTTCCAGACGCAAGGGAATTCCCCATTGGAATCTTCAATTTCACGGGTAATTCCCTCGCAGTCAGCTGCATCTAGGGTTCTTGCAGGGTCCTGACTCTCAATTCCAGTCCACACTGCTTCAAGGGTTGTCTAACCTTGGGAATATCTGGGCTAATGTAATCCCATGTAATCATGTATATCTGCAGATCACTCATCTAATTTGTAATTGTCTGTACATTTACATGTACGCCTTAAAGTGCTTTGTATTTCATTCAGCCCAATCCATTTTGTCCTTAACTACTGATTATCCTAATTTGTTTACTTCTCCCTAATCCCTCGACTCTCTTTTTTTTATATCTCTGATGTTTTATCCTGGTCCTCCTCCTCGTCTAATTTAAACTATCCTCCACATACATATGAAGAGTTTAGATTGGATAGTTTCAGAGTGAAATTGAAGATAAATTGAAAAGATACATTAACAATAGGGAAGTACAGGAAATTTGGGTGGCAGGTGTATAACAGCTCAGCTGTTCCATTTATTTTTATGAATCCTGCACTTAAGAATGGGGAGTACATTGCAGCTACTACCTGCATCATAGCTACCAGGCATAGGTCGAATCCTAAAGCACCATGGTCAGCACCAGCTTGAATCCAAACCACATCTGCTAGCGCCAAATCCAGTACCACAACTGCCAGACCCTATTGGTCCAGTATCACAGTTCCTAGGTGAGTGGGTCTAACGCCACAGCCACAAGGGGAAATTCCAGTTCACAAATCATCAGGTTTGCATTCTGTGTCAGAAAACCTATTCCCACACTGATCCCAAAGTAACCATTTGCCAGCACTTACTGAAAGTATGTTTTTGTTTTCAGATGTAGCAATTGGAGCACCCAATGAAAATGATTACCGTGGATCTGTCTACATTTACCAAGGAGATGCCAATGGGATAGTCTCCAAATACTCGATGGTAACTGTTCATTGATTTGCTTTTACTCTGTCATGGGATTTGAGCATTGCTGGCTAGGCTGGCATTTATTGTCCATCTCTAGTTGCCCAGAGAACATTGCTGTGAGTCACATGTAACCAGACTGTGTAACAATATCAGATTTCCTTTCCTAACATGAACCAGATGGGTTTTTACAACAATGGTTACATAGCAGCCAATTGGCAAGTATTGCTTGTCATTCCAGATTTTTGTTGAATTAGTTTCCACCAACTGCTATGGTGGGATTCAAACTCATTTCTCCAGAACATTAGCCTGAGCCTCAGGGTTACTTGTCCAGTAACATTACCACTTCACATCAACCTCTACAAAGGTCAAAAACCCACTTCCAGTGGCAACAGTTTGTGAGACTACTCCTTGCACTGAGTAGGAAATATATTGAAGGGCAGACTTTCCTCATATGTTCTGTCTGAATCTGGGCAGACCTGAGGGTTTGTGTTTCATATCAGAGGTGGGAACTTAGTGTTGCGACTGATCCCGCATCCTGTTCTTAGCTCTGTCTGCACAGTATAGGGAGGGATGGTTTTCCGGAAGCACTGAGATAGACCTGCCTTTAAGGTGAAGGTGGAAGCAGGCAGAATGCAGAGCTGACGCCCCACTTTCCACTTCTGATCGTTGTGATCTCGAGGCACATCATTAACTTTTAAAAGAAGTTTGAACTGCTGTGATTACAGACAGGATTTCTCATTTTAAACAAAGTCTTTAATGTAAGAATTAAACAAATTGATTGCTAAATTAACACAATGTATAATTCATATAAAAGTTGGATTTTAAACCTGAAAATCTCAACAGATCACTTCCTGTTGAATTTTAGTTCCAACCAACAGATTCCTGATATTTGATCTTGAGGGATCCTTCATCTCTCCTGGGACCAAACCAGTGTATACCACAGCTATCAGCAATTCACTTTGCTTCTCCTCAGTGTTCATCCAAGTTACAAGATTTCTTGGAATCCTTCCAATGGGTTCTGCCAGGTGACCCTCCAATTCCCATTAAGTACTGTTTGGACACACAGTCCATTCTGGATTTTTCTGCCTTCTGACTTAGTTTGTCTGCAGTTGTTGGATCTTTCGTATCACTGTTGTAACTCACCTTAAGGAGCACAGGTGCGGTCCCTGCTACAGTATTTAGGAATGAATTATAAAGGAAGTGAAACAATTTTAGCTAGGTTACCATACAGCTGGCGTAAAACCTGACAGCTGCTAAAGACTGGATATCTATGTTTTTTTTGTTTCATAAGAAAGGAAGAGTTTAGTTGGATTGGAGCAAGTTCAGTTCACTTGCATGATTCAAGGGATAAGGGATTGTCCAATGAGGGGATGTTAAGTAAATTAGTTCTTTGTCGCTAGAGTTTGAAAACCTGAGTGTTGATCTTATTGAAATGTAAAAAAAAAAATCCGAGGCTTTATTGTGTAGACGCTTGTAGAATGTTTCCTGTCTGGAGTCTAGAATAAGGGGTCACAGTTTGGCTGTTTAGGACTGAAATGAGGAGAAATATCTTTACTGAGGGTTGTGAACATATGGAGCACTCTACCTAAGAGAGTTGTGAATGGCCAATCCTTGAGTAAATTGAGGAGAGAATGGATAGGTTTTTGGTTACTGTGCGTGCAATCTTCTGGACTAAGAAGAGGCAAGAAGAATGACGGGTAGGAGAAGTTAATTAGGCAAAGTTAAAAATTCAGATTCTCAGCTGTCTTGTGGTTCAGTGGTAGTGTCCCTACCCCTAGATCATAAAGCCTGGGTTCAACACCCACCTGGTCCAGAGGTGTGTAATAACATCTCTGAACAGGCTGTTTAGAAAAATAGGTTAAATTAAAAACAGAATTAAAAATTCAGACTCTCGCAGCAGAATAACCCTTTGCACTCAAGACCTTAGAAAGTGTATTGACCTTCCTGGCTGCTGGTATTGGGAAGCTTATCTGCATGCATCCGCATTTCATTAAATACACAGCTTTCAGTGCTTGATCCCAGTTAGATTCTATCCAATTGATGCATCTGTCCACTTAGATATAAGTTTGCATATAATCAATGAGTACCTGGTGCCCTTCATTATTGCTGAATTTCAGAGTAATTATGTGCTGCTTTGCCCCTTTGAATGGTACAGCTTTAGGTGATGTTCGCTTTGAGTTATAGTGTAAGATTGCCAAGTGCACTCAAAGTGGCTATGAAGAGGAGAGTGACTGTATCTGCAGAATAGGATGGTATGAAAGTGATAAAGGAGAGGGAGCGTTGATGGGGCAAGGGTGGGTACTGAATGGAAGAGTGACCAAAGCAGCATTTTCTGTCCTTTCCTGGGGAGATGACTAGCAAGACAAAGTGACAGAAAACTCGCAGTCCAGGGTCTGATCTTTGCTGTGGGGAAGTTAATGATTGGAATTAGGCCTGGTAGTATTGGGTTGCATGAGTTTGTTGACAGTCACAGAAGGAGTTGGATGTGACAGGGTGAGAGTTAGGGGGTCATGAAAAGTGATTGCATAATTGGTTTCAAGGATAGGAGGGGAGAGGGTCAGCGAGAACCTTGGACATGGATGAATGGGGGCTCGGTAAAAAATTGAAATGTTAACATAAATATGGATATGATTGGCAGGAACATGGGGAAGTTTGAGGGGGACAGAGTGACAGGGATTACAAAGTCTGGAAAATAAAGAAGAGGAGGACCTTGGTCATGGCAGAGGAGGGTCAGCCATATCTGTTTTAACAATGGATGTAAATTTCATCAATTTGAAAAACTTATGGAAAGTCTGTTTTGGTTTTGAAAAGTTGGGAGGAGTTTTTTGGGTGGTTGGAGTGAAAGCATTGAACTTTTGGCCGATTGAAGAGTCAACCAATGGATGGAGAATTATTCACAACTGGGTTCCATTCCAAATTTACCAGCATTCACGGTAGTACATTTCAATGATATTCCCTGAAGTCATGGAGCTACAATGCAGACTGATTGTAATCTCATGGAGTCTGTTGTTTGGACACAGCCATAGCAGAAAGGAGTGCCTTACGGGTGCAGTGCAACTGTCTAAATGAGTGGAGGCTTCTGCCAAAAGAGGAGAAATGTGAGGACAGAAAGGGATAGTGGGGAGCTTGTTTTTCTGTATTCATCACAGGATGAGGGGGTCGCTGGCCAGGCAGCATTTATTGCCCATCCCTAATTGCCCAGAGGGCAGTTAAGAGTCAAAACATTGCTGTGGGTCTGGAGTCACATGTTGGCCATACCAGGTAAGGATGGCAGTTTCCTTCCCTAAAGGATATTAGTGAACCAGATGGGTTTTTCCAGCAATTGGCAATGGATTCATGGTCATCATTAGATTGTTAATTCCAGATATTTATTGAATTCAAATTCCACCATCTGCTGTGGCGGGATTCAGGCCCATGACCCCAGAACATTACCTGGTCTCTCGATTAGCAGTCCCGTGATAATACCACTAGGCCAATGCCTCCCCAGTAATGTATTTTGTTGGTAGCTTTATTGTGCCGAGGCAAAAGTAGTATGTTTCTGCTACAACCTCCCAGAAGCGAAGGTAGCCATTGTGAATGGGAAAGTTCACCAATATGCCTGAAAATTTAGCCAATAAGAAACTGTTCTCTAGGCTACACAAGACATTATGATGGTGGGCGTGCTGACTGGGGAGGAAATTGCTAGGTAAGGGCATCATGGAGCAGGTTGGGATGGTAAGCTTCAAAGAGAATAGTGACAATATACATTAATTAGCTTTCTTCACAGATCTCCTGAAACCGATAGCACAATGGCACAACAAAACCCTGCCCTTCTTCTGACCATTTTGTAGCTGAGGAGGAACCAGTGTTGTGGGGTACTGAAACAGTACCAACAGGCCCAGGTTACAGACCAGCCTGCAGAGGTGTAAGATTTGGGCTACCATGGTGATAATGAGCATTGGCCAGAAACCATGTCCAAACTTGTTAACCCCAACTGACAGAGGAGCAATGCTGAAGATGGCTTAAGAAGTCCCTGGAGTTTGTCTCCTCCACCCCACCAACTTCTGGACAAGCAGCAGTGTCTCTAGAATTGGGAGGCAAACCCCACCATACCCCCTACCTCGCCAACCCC